TTCTGCTCACACATTTGAGCCTTTGTGTCAGAGACCTTCTTGGAAAAGGAGGTTCTTACTGGCTGCCACAGGGCAGAGTGGGGGAACAAAATGCATCTTTCATGCCTGGGTATCTCTTATACACAGTCTCAGCAGCAACCCAGCAGACACAGCTCTCATGCCCCTATCCTCTCCCAGCATTTATTTGGAACCTCAGGAGGGAAGAGGTAAAAGTGGATTTCACCAGGTCAAAAAACCCAGTAACTTGCTTTTTAGTCCATAGCAAAAATTGAATTTTCAGGAAAAAATCTGAATACCAAAATATTCAAGCCAAAAAATAAAGTTTTTAATTTTTGGCAGCTCAGGACAGGTTTGGGCTGCTCAGTTTTTGACAGTAAAGCAACATATATTCGCACCATTTTTTTCGTCTTCTTTTACAGTATGCTGACATTTTCAAATGCATTTTCTCTTGAAATGCAGTTTCTCTTGAACATTTTCAACAACGCTTTTTCACGGTATTTAATTCTCAGGGTTTCTCACTGCCAGGGGAACAGCCGAGGATCCAGGGAGGAGCCGTGGAAATGCATTAGCTATGCCAGCTCTCAAGAGCAGCTTGAAGTGGCACTGGCCCGCTTTGATTCTGGCCCTTGGCAGCAGCTGGTCCTGTCCAAGTTTGAAATGGGGCAGAGATGCAGCAGAACTCCCAGACCACCTCCAGGAGGAAGCTGAAAAGGGTAGGCACAGGAGAAAAGAGCCAAGTCAAATGCACCTTTGATCAAATGGTGAAATCTTAGCAAGACAGCAGAAAAACAGACTGTGCCATGCCCCAGCATTGTCTCACTCGTTGTGCCAAGCCCTGCAGTCAAGAGAGAACATCTGCTGACCAGCCCACAGCTGTAAGAGAAGCATTTCCCTGTACTTGCAACCAAAGGCAGTGTCAAAGCCTCTGTGCTGCTACATTAAGCTGTAGTTGGAAATGCAACGGAGGCTCCTCTATACATTCCTGCTTTTACATACATAAAAGCCAAGTGCAAGTAGCTCTGACCCAGCCCAGGAGGGGTTGGCAGTGGCACTCCTCCTGCTCTTCACAGAGCAATCTCTTTGAGCCAACCAACAGGGAGACACAGCTCAAAGAAGCACAGGAAGGTCATGTGTGGGAAAACACATTTAACTAAATTCACCTGCATGTTTTTACTGAATAGAAGTGTTACACTGGTTTGTTTTTTTTTCCTACAGGTGTCTTTTCTCCTCCAGACCAGCCCAGTTCCACTAACTTCTGGCCAAAGGAGTTCCTACTTCATATGCAGAACATCAGTGTTGCATACATATAACCAGAACTGCCACAGGTAGACACCAGGAACCATACTAAAAACAATTAAAATATGCTGATGAAATCCCACTTCCCTGCTCATCCAGCCCATCAGACTAGAAATGATGGGGTTTCTGAGCTCCTCTGAGCAAACACTGTGAAAATATAAGTCTTGGTTTGGTGATGCCCAGAGCGTTGAACTAATAACACTTGTCTCATATGTAAGCAGCTGCAAAACCTGATATTTACACAAGGATTCACAGAGATGAGAAAAGCCTGCTTTTTTTTTTTTTTTCCTAGATGGCAGGCTCTTGTTCAAATGGGAATTAATTTGGGAAAACCCTCTGGTTTATATCACACAGCATGCCAGGTTAAATGACTAGAGTAGACTCTATTTTTTGTGTAACTGAAGATTAGCTTTAGAGCATTGACACCGTTCCCACATCAGTATAGTAGCATTTTTACCCACTAAAGCACCCATCATTTTGCATGTCGAATAGATTGTGAAAAAAGTAGAACTCTACCTTTAAAAGCACTCAAACAATGAGATCACAAATGCACTTGGTACAAATACAATTACACCTATATGCGTTTGCTGGCAGGAGCCACTTTTTTGCAGAGCTGTCTCTTGGAATCCACACATTGGCTTAGCTTACCTTAGACAAGGTGGCTGCAATTTCAAAGCTTAGAGCTGCCTTTAAATAGGCTTTTCTTAGACTTGGGTATCAGCTGGCACATGCTTCTGCTGGCAACACAAGGGCTGTTGTCTCAGCTACCCAGGAGTAATATGCAAAAGACAGCTTCTATGAGGCCAATTAGTAGAGCTGGAAAACACAACCCAAGCCCTACCTCAAGGTAGGGCTGATACCTGATACCTGATGTGAATTTCTTCTCATTTTTTTTCAGATTTATCAGGTGGTCTAATAAATTACATCCCCCTTCTTACAAAGCTTGCATCACTTTTATGGAGAAATGATGAAGCAGGCAATGCTCCTGCTGGCAGAGCTAATGGCAGGGTGGATACAGCAAAGTCTGATACATCAGATTGCTGCAGGAAACAGCTTGCAAACTCGAGCTAACCCCCAGCCCCCATGCCTTCTGGGGGTTACATTTTGGTGGTCTTGGTACATAGAGTAGGCTGGTCCCAACTATATTTTTGAGTCTCATGAAGGCACATGAACCTGACCCTCAGCTCAGCAGTGCTTTTAGCTCCCCATCTAGCACCAGTACAACACTAAAGCAACAAAAGAATGAGTGCAGAGAAACAGATATCATCTCAGGTTATATCTAAGGTCTCACTTCTTGCCTCATTTAAAATCATATTTTATTTTAAATCCCTCCCTCTCTCTCCACAAGAGGTAAGTTTTTTGAGGCAAAAGACAGAGTGTCCATCAGCGCTATCAGGGGTAGCAAGGCAGTTGCCAGTCTCATCCTGTAAAAAACTATGGTTATCACAATAGGTTCAAAGTTCTTCCAAACAGAACAGCTGGAGCTGATGGACACTGTGTGTTCTTCCTATTGCTTTAAGAGCTCCAGCTGCTTTGCCTCTGCAGTGGCAGTACATCTGTGTTGCTGTGCAAGCAAAACCAGAGAAAGGATGAGGAAGAAAACAATTTCACATATTTTTGTCTGTTGCTTCCATCTTGTGGCCAACTTGGAAAAGAAAAATTTGGGTCTTTATTTTAGTAAAGTTGTTATTAGCAAATGAAAGGAAACGCTGGAATTTTTAGAGGTGGTTCTAATCCTTACCTCTAGTTGTTTGGATGGGAATGAATTTGGATTGGAAGTTAGGTTTTCTCTTTGAAAAGCATTGAACATCAATGCTGGCAGAGGAAGGGGCTGGTGCCTCCTTTGCCACACACTCTGTTTTGGTCTCATATGAGCTGCTGTGCCAAGGGGTGCAGGACAGAGATGGGGTCAGGAGGACAAGCCCATGAGAGCTGAGCCCAAACCCTCACCTTGCTGTAGGCAGCAGTGATGGGACTCTGCCAGAGTATGGACTCTGCTTCAGCTGCTGGCTTAATGAGCTAGCCCAGATCCATGAGGTGACTTTCTCTCTTCTTTTTGAGCCTACAAAGTCTTTTCTTCATTTCCCTTTCATTTTTCTTAGGGATTATGCCAGCATACAGCTTCATACCACACAACCTCTAAAAATGGATAAGTTGATGGGACACAGCAATTTTGCTGAGACAGTTGCAAAGGCACCATGTCCCAGGTTTCCAGAGCCACGGGGAGCATCTCAAGGTGGCTGGATAACTTCTTTCTGGCTCGTGAACCTGCTGCTTTTTGCACCACTCATAGCAATACAGAAGCTTAGCCAAAAATCTTTCTACCTGCATAACCTAGAGCCATTCTCTTCCTATCTTCCTGGCCAGAAGCCTGTCCTTCTCTGGTCCTGGCACAGTGCTGCTCTCTCACAGCTCCTGTTTCCTGGGCAGACTGCCTCTGCTGTGTGCCATTCTGTGCCCTCAGCACATTTCCAGCCAAATATTTGCTGAGGCCTTGAGACAGAGAGCAAGATGATGTGTGGAACTCATGTCTGACCCCTAGTCAGGTGGAAAAAGGAGCTAGAATTTTGTCCAAAACATGTCTGCTTCAGCAAGAAGGTGAGAAACTCACTATCCATGCTTCCCAGCATGGACAGATATGCTCACAGGCATGCACAGCCATGCCCTGTGCTTGGGAGAATGCTCTGTGCCCAGGCTCTTGCATTGAGAGAGATTTCAGTACCCCCTCCCTTCACCCCACACAGAGAAATAACGAGTCCATTAGTCCTTATGTCCCACACAGCTGCTGAGCTTCCAGAAGAGCAGGTGCACAGCTGAGCAGGATGTAAGGGCACAAGCACTTCCAGGACTCTTTCCTGTCCCCTGGTGACAGGAAGTGTTGTGTGTCTGTGCAGGGTTACAGGATAAAGACTCCTTTCAGCAAGGACTCACAAAGGAGACACAACCTACTGTAGCTCTTATCTAAGGCAAGGGCCCAGGATGCTGCACCCCATTTGAATTAGGAGGGGGAGATGTTAGATGGAGAGTTCATCTCTCAGCAAGTTCCCAGCAAGAGCAGTGACCATGCCAAGGACAGAAGGTTGCTAACCTGCCCATTCACAGGGCATTCCCACAGCCAGCCTTGCCTGGCTCCCACTGGGAAACCAAGACAGGCTTTTGTGCAGGAAGTGCAGCTGTCAAGTTTAACTCTGATTTCAGGTTGAAATCTTGCAAATCTTCTCAAATTCACGTTCAGTTACATACACTGTGTAAAATTGATTACTGTGGGAGCACAGAACCATACTAAAAATCTGGATTGATTCACAAAGGAGGCAAGTTCAGCACAAGTTCAAAAAACCCTGTAGCCAGGAGCTTTTCCTGAGTGTGTGCAGATCAGCAGGCACCAACCCCCCAGCACACAGTGCCAAGGTCAAGGGTTTTGTCTTGTGCAGGGAGCCAGTGCCCACCCACTCACTCCCTCAGTGCTGGAGCACCATACCTGCTGTGTTTTGGGTGATAATGTGACTCCCCACAGATGTCACTTGGTATCCTGGTCATTTCCTGCCAGGCTCATTATGCCCACTGGAAGGGCTCAGAGACGTGCTTGTCATTACTGCCTGATGGCTTTGCAGAGAACTCAAAGACCTCTTGAGGGAAAAAAATCCCTCAGCAAGACTGAGTCTTTATAACCATCTTTGAATAAGTGAGTATAGACCCCTCACATATCCTTAAATTATATATCATTTATTGAAATATAGAGATCTTAATTTACAAGATTTTTTCAAAGACAAAATATCAACAGGGGCATTTTTGAAATACATTTTGTGCCTACCATCACTCAGGCCAGTTTGCCCTTCTTCAAACATTTCACAACAGCCATCATTTTGGAAACACTTCCTTTTTTATTATTCTAAAATATAACTTTTGGACATTCAAAGTGCAACAGTTAACGTGCCTGTGGAATATATCACAGTAAAAAAAATATAAACAAAGGCAGTGATATAGCTGTCATAAATGTTTTGGCAGTATTCTAGAAGTCTATATAAAAATACTTATATACATATTGATGTATAACATCATCATATCTCACGTCCTTCATCATGTAATAGGACCATTTTGTACAAGTTGCAGACCACACTGTAAGGAATTGGTTGGCCATTCCAAATCAAAAGCTGCATTTCATAGGATAACACTGATTGTCGTTATACAATTGCTGTAGCAAAAGGTTTGGGAATATCTCTTCCAGTGGCTTCTCAAAAAGTAAGCCATAAAAAAAAAAAAAAGTCTGTAATACTGATAATATTGTGAAACTAAACAATTCATCCTCTCACACTTCTCTCTCTGTAATAAATCCTCTCTCTTCCTCTCCTTCTCATTCCAGTTTCCAGGCCAGCTTGTCTGATTCCAAGCCTGAAGTGAGCTGGGTTTGGCTAGACCCCTGCCACGGATGCAATTGATTTGCACAATACTCATGACAAGATGGAGAATGAACATTATCATGTACCTGAAAGTGAGCCAGCTCTGGTTCACCATTTGAGTCTAGCCTGAGATGCACTGTGAGATACAGAATGAGGCTGGTGAGGGGAAGGCAAATCTGCATTAAAATGTCCTTAGATTCCAGTAACTGATATAATAAAACATGCTGGGGCTGATTTTCAAACCCTGAAGAACACTAGGCCATGTGCAAAAATGCAGGTGAAATTGCTTGCCTAATTTGAATGTGTAGTTGTAAAGACTACACATGGAAATTCAAGCACATGTCATCTCAAGTGGCCATTCAGATATCTGGGATATCCATAGACAATTTGTGTTTCCTCAGTTCATCATTTGTAACTGGAGGGAGATTTCACACCATCTCATCTGTCCTGGCTATATCAAGAGCCTGTGTTTCACAGTTGTCCCCATACAGAGCTCAGTGACATGTTTGGCAAAAGCATGGTCCCAGGAAGACACTTGTTCTTGATCTGTCGAATGCAAGAAGTAGAGAATGCACCATCATTCACCATTCCTTCTGATTGTCAGCTTCCATTGGGGTTGAAAATGTGGGGGCTCCTCTCTTCAGGTCCTGTTTTCACATTTGCTGTGATCTTGTGCATGACTTCAGCCAGGTGACAGCTGAAAACCCAGATCCAGAATTATTTGCCTATGCAGCGTCCCACGCTGTAACACTGCCAGTATTGCATTTGCTTTTATTTGATCTGTAGCTGTCCACAAGTGAAGTCAAGGGGACTTACAAAACTTTTTGAAGGGTCATTTGAAGGTAAAGGCTAGTTTAACATGGCAGCATGTTCTGTCAGTCACTCTTTCACACTTCCTAGGAAAATACAGGAATGAGTTTGCACCGCATTTGCATTGGTTATGTCGTAACAGAGGCTGGCCATATCCTACGAGGTGCTCATTGCACTGAATTAAGGTGAAGTTTGAAAGTTGAGTACCAGAAAGGATGAGGCCCTTGGCAGTGATGTACTTTTCACATGTAAGTCTTCCAAAGCATCATATCTCAATTAGACATTGTACAGTGATAGCAGTAATCATAATACTTTGTTCATATAAGTGGTGTCAAAAACCAATAATTGCAGGCTGAGAGCAGGTTCATTTTCATGCACTTTCTTCCAAACAACACTCCTAGAAGCATTTACCTTTTGTAGTTACAGTCTGCAAAGATATTAGAGTTTTCTGCTCCTGTTTGAACTTGAAAACTAAGACAAGAATATTTTCTGCATATTTATTTCTGCTTATTTGAACTTGCGTTTCGGGCTAGGAGAAATGTCTATTCCTTGAGCAGTTCAAATATCAAATCAATTCTTCATAGCTAACCTCAGGATAAGATTTCTTTTGAGTACCCATGAAACATTAATAAAGGGATATTGCTGGTGGTTTATCATAATCTTCCATTCTCCAGCATCTTGGAAATCTGGCATAATTTTGTTTTCAAATTTAAATTTTTAGAACTTCACTTAATCAGAGGAAAATTAATTGCTTCTAATATATCTGATTAGAAAAGCTACTCAGATCATGAAAGAAAAATATCTTAAATTTTTTCTCCATGTTAAAGTATTTTTAGCTAACCAGAACAATTACCATTCTGTGTAGATTAAAAAAAAAAAAATTGTTTCATAAAGGGTTTTTTGGGCTGGAAATTTCTCCCCTTTACTTAAAAAAGTATTTTGATACTGTGCTTTTACTGAAGGACAATGGATTGTAAAATATACATTTAGTGTTACTGAAAACAGTAGTAGTATTATCTTGAAAACAGCTACCTTCTATAGTTAATAAAGACTTACTAGGTTTCTAACACCTATTATAGACTGACTTTTAATTATCATTATTATTATCATTATTATTCCCCTTTACTTGCATTAATGGTAAAAAGTAACATGTTTTATAGTACCAGTCAGTCCCTTGTGGGTTTAGACCGTTTTGGTCCAAAAGTGGTTTTTGCATGTTCTTCAATTCACATGATAATTCAACAGCAGCTGACATTGAGATTGAGGGAGGAAGTACACAAAATTCATGAATGACCTCTTCTAAAATCCATGGCATACGTTCAATGTGCACCTCAAAAGATCCTTGAGCAGACAGTTATTTACATAATTACAATGGTGAAGTATTGCTGCAGTGGAAAATTGATCCATCAAAGTCATATGAATGCCCTTGAAACACAAAACTGGTCTGTTTGTGGCTTTTCCCTTCATCCTCCTACCAGCTGGAATGGCAAACAACACTGAGATGCTACTGAAGTACTGCAAGAAGCAACACTAAAAAAATCCATCTTCAACATGTCTCTTTCATTTATACTCAGGCTGATTCCTCTGCCCATTTCTGGGAGTTCCTTTCTACAAATCCGCCTCCTCTTCACATCCTTGACATTGCAATAAAGTGGTTTTCTCTGTGGAGCAGAAGTCTGTAGACAGCACGGGAAGCTTCCCTGTGTGCAGAGCTGGCAGGTGTCTGTGGGGTTACAGGAAGCTGTCCTCCACCAGGTCTGAGGAGTCGATCCCAATGTCGTCCATCATGTCAATGTCCTCAATGGTCTCGTCCTCTCTCTTGATGAAGGTAGAGCTACTGGAACCAGTCTCAATGGCACTTTCTTCAGATGTCTGTGAACTGGAAGAGACAAATATCTCAGAGATAAGGTCCTGTGGCTGGGTAAATACCCCAATCTCTAGCAGAACTGAACGCTACCTCCCCAGATGCTTTCTGACCCACGGTGCAATCTTAGATGACTATGACCACCAGTTTCTTAAGACATGACATATCTTGTCTATCAAAAGTATTGAACCACCTTGGAATTCAAAGGAGCATGCTGTTCTTATGTTCCTCCAAGCACTCTCAGCCAGACACTTGTTGGAGAAATACTTTTATGACACTATTGTGACAATAGGTCACTTAGGTAAATCTGAGGAGGTCAGGTGAAAATAAGGTCGCAATAACAGTAAGATAAGAATAACAAGAATAAGAATATGTCTTAATTTTGATAGTACTTTTAGGGACTTTGTTCTTCCCTCGCTTGAATAAAGCACAAAATTATACAAAAAAAAAAAAAAAGACATTTCTAGGTTGCTGAACCTATATACGATGAATTAAGTGCTGAATTAAACCTGCACCACTCACAATTAGGGTCACACAGTGTTGTGTTGTAATGGCATTGGTCACACAAACTGACAAGAGAGAAGTAAAAAGAAAAGTTCTGGACACCTTTCTTTCATAGAAAACTGTACCATAGAAGATATTATCAACAACTTCTCCCAGATTTTGGAATTTGTCTATAAACAAATCAATCATTTGAGGTCTCATATGAAGCTCTAAGGAAGCAAGATATGCTGCAAAATGTGCCCACAGATCCACCAGACAACCACTGTCATACTACCATATTTATATGTACTATTTATAAGTAGTTTCAACAGACCTAAGGAAACAATTTGCAGACTACGATGCTGGAAAGTGTAAATAGACATTGCCAAACATGACCCCAAATGGTGACTATGGGCAAAGGGATCTATCTGTAAACTGCACCTACCTGTGTCTGTTTCTTTTGCCAAGCTCATCTTCAGAAACAGGGTCAATGTCAGGCAGGGGAATGATGTATCCACTGTCAGCACTCAGCCTCTGCTCATCAAATCCACTCTCCCTATCCTTTAGCTTGTCTTCATTCTTGTAGGTTACACCAATGTAAGCATTGTCACAGTCCCCTCTCATGCGTGTGACAGCTGGGTGATCACTTTTCAGGAAGTCCAGATGAATCTTCTCGTAGCTCTGAAAATATTAATTTCAACCCCCTCATTAGATTTTATTCACTAAGGCTGCCTTTATTGAGATAGACAGCTGTGATTCATTAGCCTAGCAAATATTCTGCCCTATGAGCCAGCAACACTGGATAGAGAAGTCCAGAACTTTCAATTGCTTTGAAGGAAAAAGTGACATGTAAGTTTTAGATGATGCAGGAGCAAAGCTTTGTGGCAGCACAAAGCAGACAAATAGATGTGAAAGAAGGGTAGGGAGAAGAGAGTTAAGGTAGGTGGGAAAAATGAAACACTGAATGATGGGGCAGGCACAACTTGTCTAGAGCTGTCAGAAGTGTGAAGGGAAAACTTGATGGTGTCAGGGTCCAAAGGAAGAGACAGGGATATTATACACATGGGCCAAGAAGTCCCTTTTATAGAATTATTTCACAGCCTACAAAATCCCATTAAAATATATAGAACTATGTCTCCAGTAGAAAAAATGAGTTGTTAGGATTTAATTGGACATGAAGAGTTCTGCTTCCCAGTTAATACTGCAGAATGGCTTCTCTGAGTAAGCTCGAGTGAAGAAACTGAACATGAATCCCTGTGCTAATCACATCATTCCTGTAGGTTAGAATGTGCCAGTTTGGTGCTCATGGCTCTTATGGCTGGAACAATGCTTATAATTCCCTCCAAAGCGGTATACAGAAAATACAGAGAAAATGACAAAGAGCAAACCTTTTTGTACTCTCCAGGCAACAAGCTCTCCACAATTTCACTCAGATGGTAGAAAGAAGGTCTTTTCTCCGGTTCGCTGTTCCAGCACTTCACCATAATCTCATACCTGCAGATAAGAAGGAAACCAGTTTAACCAGCTGGTACAGGAACATAACTGATCAAACAGAAACTAAAGCCAAAATTCTCTGGAGACTGGGCAGGTGTGGAAAAGCCAAATGCACACATACACTTCATTGGTAGCATGATCAGGTTTAGCCATTCGATATCCACTCTTGATCTTATTGTAGAAAGTAGAATCGACCATCATGCCAGGATATGGTGTGCCACCTGCAGATAAAAGAGAAGCAAAAGTTCTACTCTGTACTTGACTATCCACGAAGAGTTCACAAATACTGTCTTCCTGTTCATGTTATGAATGGTTAACACTATAATTTAACATGACATCAGAATGATTCTTTCCTAGCCAGTGTTTCACATCAGAGCTGTTGTCTTGATGACATTAAGCCCTAATATGAAACACTGGCTAGGAAAGATTGAAGTAGGTACTAGTTAGGAAAAAAATCTTTACAGTATTTATAGAATGCACTAGGGACAGAGATTGGGTGATACCTGGATCAGGTCAGCAGCCTGCATTTGGCATGGCTGAGGTCACGGCCCTGCCCTGCCACTGCCTTTCTGTGAGAGCTTAGCCCAGATATTTGCTCTTACTGGAATTACTGCCTTTGGCACCTGTAGAACAGCTGAGAGTGACAGAGCCAGAGTAACATACCTCATCCTGACTGCAAGGCCAGAACCTTGGTGTAAGTTCCCTCCATACCCCACTCATCCCAGCTGGGCAGCTGCCTTTAGACAATAGCTAACATGTCACATGTATGGGTTGTCAAAAAAGTTTGGACTTGGCCCAAGCTGACACTGTTAACTGTTAATTTGGGGCTGCAGCACAGACATATTATTGCACTCATGCTCAGTTGTTGCTGATGTGTAAAAGGGTAATTCAAGCTGAAGTCAGCATGGCAGCAAGATGTTAAAATTGACCTTCTTAAAAAACACTGCTGAAGATATGTTCTGCTTTCCAAAAAGGAACAGTTTTCTCAGATGGAGGAGACATGTTATATTACTTCAGAAACCTCTGCCCTTTCAAAAGCAGGATTTTCACCTAAAACTGAGCTTCAGAACCTCCTTTACAGGTAGACCAGTGAAGTGTAATGCTTCAGTTCCTGCACTGTCCAATGCCTCCCAGGGATATCAGGGAATGGCTATTTACAGGATCCTATGATACCCAGAGATTACAGGAATCAATACCATAAATAGTGGTGCAACTATTGTTTTCTGAGAAGCAGTTATGTGACAAATTATTCTAGCAAATAACATTAGGCTGGGGGTTGCCACGGGGCAGCAGTAGATGCCATACAGGCATGAGTAATTGTGCTGGCAGTAAATCTGGGCAGTGCATGCTCACTGAAGCAGGCCATCCACCCATCCAGGAGGCTAATTAATGAGGCTGAGGAGAGAGCCAGGCTGTTCCCAGCTGGGAACTGCACATTGTCTGTAACTGTTATATATTGTCATAACCACTTTACACTGTCATAAACCAACTGTGTGAACAGTGTTGACCTGGAAATGAGAAACCGGTGTCCCAGAAGATTGACATTTATTTTCATTCTGTAATAGGACTAAGACAGGCTCTTTTGAAACGTGTATGAAGAAACTGTTCCAAAGCAGCTGCTGAGCTGGGCTGCAGCCCCAGGCACCCCATTGCAAGGGAGAAACATGTTCCTTCTCATATTAGACAGAAAATCAATCCTGTTGTAGCACACCAATACTTTTCCTCAAAAGATTTTCACACAGTTCTTTTAGTTTTACAGAAAAAAAAGTATATTGCTAAAACAAACAATAAATAAATGAAAAATAAAACCCTCAAATACACAAACAAAAAATCCACACCAAAACTAAAGAGAACTTTGGGAGAGTATGGACATTTCACTTCATACCTAACACTGGAATCTGAAATCTCATACAGAAGACAGCTAACAGTGGATTTTACACATATATTTTTATCTGCAGAATTTGAAGTACTTAATGTAGAACAGCTTGAATTGAAAAAACATAATCACTACACATAAGAAAATATTCACAGTACATACCAAGAGAAAATATTTCCCACAGTAGAATGCCATAAGACCAGACATCACTTAATGTTGTGTACAGGTTGTCAAAAATACTTTCAGGTGCCATCCATTTTACTGGGAGAAAAGTCTATAATAAAAAGAAAGCACAAACACAAGAGATTAGTCATTAAATACATGCTTACCATTGCAATTGTTGTTTGATAGCCAGGAATAACATCTCTCTATAGGAGAAGTTGTGTTAACTTTGGTAGTATTTATTTGTAATTCAATTTAATAAAGAGGTACCAGGATTATAAGCAATGCTACTTGTTGCTCCCCATAAAACTAGTTAAACCATAACAGTAATCATTTCATTACTAGCAAATGACCAGGTAGCAAATGACTGAATGCATGATGCAAAATCTAGCAGTGCTGAACTAGGTCTGATATGTCATTGTTTGACAGGTCCTTAATAATTTATCCAGTCACAAAACCTGCCAGTTAAAATGTCAGACTGTGAAGTCCTAAATGTGTACTTTTTGGCTTTCTAAAAGAGAGTTAGAAAAACTACAGGAATAATGATCTGAAGATAAATTGTTCTGAGGAGCATTCATCCCAATGGTCGATTACTGTAACCAACACTGAATGGCAAGAACATGAAATAGCGTTTAAAACTGACAATTTTCATTTCAGTTCAAGCAGAGCTCCAGAGATTAAGTACATACACTGCCTTTGGAGACATAGTTGGAATCATGCATGATGTCTCTAGCCAGCCCAAAGTCACAGATCTTCACAATTTTTCCTTGAGCCAGGAGGACATTACGAGCAGCCAAGTCACGGTGTACACACTGTATGGAGAAAAATGAAGTTGTTCAAGGACATGCTTTTTCCATGAGGGCCTCTGCCCTTACAAAAGGATTGACTTTCTAGGTACAGTCCTAACAAGACCTTCTACTGAACAAGCACCTGCTAACAGGGGCAGGGAGGCACACGTCTCCAGGACTAGCGAGGTCTCACACGGACACATTTTAGGGAGGAGGAGGCAAAAGTGTACAATGTCATGTACTAATGATATGCCTGTGCTTCTGACCATGCTGGCTTGTGACTGCATGGACCCTTCTCCCAGACCCTGCTTTGATCCTCCATCATCTCTGGCACCCTGACTCCAGCAATGTCACAGGATGCAGCAGGGGAAGACGAGTGACTGCTGCTTTGATTTTTTCCCACTATGGTGATCTCTATTTCCAGGTAAGTGAGAAAGCTGTCTGTATCTACAAAAAGAATACTGTGTTGTATCATATGCTCAAAATCTAAATTTAAAACCATAGCTGCAGAAGACATTTTTACACCTTATTTCATTTTGCTTACTTTTTTTATTTACTTACATTTTTAGAAGCCAAAAATTCCATTCCCCGTGCAACCTGGTAGGTGAAGCTCAGCAGATCCAGCAGGCTGAGGCCCTCAGAACTGTCATCTGAAAGAAGGTTTTTGACTTCTGATTCTATTGAAAAAAGAAGAAAAACGTGGTTTTGCTGTGGAGTGTGAAAGTAGCATCTGTCTTCCCCTACCTACCTATTCTGAGCTGATAATTTTAGCAGGGTACATGACCAAAACAGTCTTTTCATAGTAACTATTACCACCTCTAATGTCTGCATCAGTCACTGACACATACTGCATTTTTAAAAACAGCCAGTATTAAATAACGGGTTTGGGTTTTCTCCTGTCTCTAATTCTTCCCCCTGGGAACAGTTGGAAAAAAGTAAAGTGAAAAAGGAGTGTTACTGAACATTACTGGACTGTCACATAGGTTGTTTACTCAGTGTGTGGTACAAAAATATTTGTTTAGAGGTGATGCCTTCATTAGGGTTTTGTGCATGCATGGACATTCTTATCCGTTTACTTTTGCTGAACACTGTTGTTTCCCAGGAAGAATTCACTGGGACTAATCCAATACCAGCAAAAAGGGTCAGTAAGTCTATGGCAACAGTTCTTATTTCTTTTATGAAAAATGCCAGAAAAAAACATAGTCAAAATTCCGTGATTCATTTTCTCTGACTGTCTTAGAGCATGAGTACATAAGTCTGCCATGTAAATCTGGGACTGGATATGATTCAGTTTCTGAGGCCTGGAGGCAGAAGTGATGGTGACTATTTTTAAAGAAAAGCATATTTGGTTTCTGAGAACAGGGACAGGGAATAGAATGCATTTATTATCTTCATTACATAATCTAGGAAAGTATTTGGGATTGTTCTGCATTTGGTAAGTGTCACTTAATGCAAAATGTAAATGGAAATAGTACAATATAAACTACTATTATTATTGGTTGTTGCTATTGCTCAAAATCCTTTAAACTACAAGACTGATAAAATCACTGCCTCCAAAGAGTGCCTACAGCCCCATTGCAGAGCACAACTACACAGTATTTCAGCACAGAAACAAATACACAACAGGACCCCTTCCTCTCCAGCAACATGCATTCCTACCCCCAGAGCAGAATGGAAGAACACAACCATAAGCTTTTAGCTTACAGTTTATGCTCACACTCTTTGCTGAACAGAGCTAAACAGTTTGTGCATTTAGAGGACAAAAATAAGATATTTGTTTACACAAGAGTAATTTGTATTAATGATAGATGCAGAAGGGACAGTTCTACATTACCTGACATGGATTTCTTCTTATACGAAGCTGGCCGATCATACACAGATCTCTGAATATCAGAGTATTTAGAGCCCTCCTTCCTTTCCAGCATTGGCACATATTGAGTGGTATCAGCTTGTTTCATGTCCATGTATTCTCCAGTGTTTTCAAATGATAGTATCACATAACTGAAATTGGAAAATAATACCAGTGTATCAGCTAGTGACTTCTCTGTCACAGCATATGCATATCTAACCATTCACTTAAGCTCTACCAGTGTATTGATGTAAAATTCAACAGCTGGCTTCTTGTTAGGGAATATATATATATGTAAAGATCATTACCATGTATCATATGTATAACACAACCATCACTTATTAATACATGTTACTGTGTATTACTGTAGTCAGACACAAGTGCTCCAAACTTAGGCTTTTGGCAACAGTCAGGTATGTAACCATGCCTTATTTCCCAGAATCCCACTGAACTCAAGCATCGCTACCTAGGGCTTTTAGCTCAAGGTATTCCAAATGATAGGTGTAATTTATTCACCCAGACAGTTTGCACTAAATCCAGTCCTGCTGAACAAGTTCATGCCCAGATGTCTTTACTCAGCTACAAAGTCAGTTGATCTATTTGTCTGAGTGATTTTTTTAATTAATCTCTGTTCACCTTTTAAATCCTGGCTCATTTTATGGCATTACATTATTGCTGAATGTATGATGACAAACTTCTTCAACCATCATCTGGAAAAAGTTCTGGGATGAACATTAACCATTAGGACACTATTGAGACTGGCTAAGCCATTAGTAGATAAAGGAGGGTACTTGAGCTTGGAGAACAAGCTCTGCCATGTTGTTGAAGGGAAAGAGTTTTAGACAGTGGAAATTCCCCAAGCATGGTAACAAGAAGACAGGTAGATGCACTTTACTTTTAAAATTTTTTGGCATGTGGAGTCAGAAGGATGTTTTTTTTGTTGGTTTTGTAGTTTTTTTGGTTTTGTTTTTTTTCTTTTTAAAGAAGAAGAAGAAACACTGGGCTGTGATTTATTATTTAAAACCTTTGGGATATCAGGATATCTGTGGAGAAACCACAGGGGTCCTCAGACTGCAGACATGTCTACATGCAGGAAACACAAATCTAGGACACATGTCAGAGAGATTGAATAAAAGCTGTTGAAACTTTCCCAGACCTACAAAACCTGACAAATAAAAATCTAACGAGAAAATATAGGGAGGAGTTTAAACCAATGAATGAGTAATACAACAAGGATTAATAATGACTTAGGTCGCAGGTCATGTATTTCTCTTTTTCGTTTTTCTCCCACCTTCTCGTGCTTTCATCAGCAGGGTTCATCCCAAAGATATCCAAATCTTTTTTAGGCTTTTCTGGGTGTCGGTTCAGGAAATTGTCCCTATTCTTATGCAGGTAATTCACCAAATCACCATAAAAACAGTATTCAGTGATGATGTAAATAGGACCTGTTAAAATAAAGCAAAATTATGCATTGGTGAGTGCAGGAAACAGAAAAACAGAAACAAATACAAAAAGACTCCAAAAGTAGTAGAAAATAGAGTTGTGAGTTAATACATTTCTGTCTACTAACTTGTGACTGCAATTATTATCAAATATCAAGAAGTTTTCTGAAACCTATATTTATTGGTAAATCCTTTACTTGAAACCTGTGTTGATGCCTGGAAACAGAACACAAACTTTTCCAAACAGCATTAGAATGATAATACAAAAGCCTTCAGGTACACAATATGGCAAAAAAAAAAAAAAAAAAAGTGTTCCAAATTAAATTTGTACAATTTTATAAAATAGGGCAATTAGAATATCTAGCCAATATTGTCCAATTAGAGGAGCAGTTGATTAGGTAATCCACCCCCTGCGTTCTATCCCATTGGAGCTCTCCCCCGATCTCCTACCCTGCCTTTATGGTGTCTGTGGTTATATGGTGCAAAATAAAAGGTTCTTAGTAAACTAATAGGCAAGACTAGATAAAATTTAAGGAATGCATCAATAGGCATTTATTCACTATGGGAAAGAAAGCTGGAAAAGTACTAGAAGTTATACTTAGTCATTTAACAGTGTATGAAGTTACAAATACATTAAGATTACATATAAAGCTAAAAATCTTTAGGCATCAGTGTGCTTGTTAAATACTGAACAATGACCCCACAGCAAACCTTTCTTTTGTCAGCCAAACCCACCTGATTTTGTACAAGCTCCAAGCAGATTCACAATATTCAGGTGGGGGCCAAGATGTGTCATTATCTTCAGTTCAGACATGAGGGCCTGTTTTTCACTGGATCTAGCTGTAGCTGTAGAAAAAAACACATTTGCCACTCAGTGGGAGCAGTCACCTTTTTCATATTAACAAAAGATTTCTCCTTGCTTGCTTCATTGGATCATTGCTGCCACCATGTCCTTTACTTGATGTGTGTCTTTCTTAAGACTTGGAGAGGAGCCACAAACTATTAATAAGGGACTCACTTGATGAGGCTGATGACCCAGTCTGTTTGTCCCTCTCCAGGGATATAATGGTTTGTCCACGTGGCACAGAAGCACTCTACAAGCTGCTCATTGAACACGAACAAGCTCCCCATGGTTCCTACAGAATCATTGCCTCAGATTCTCAGTTCTCATGAACCAGAAAATTTTCAGTGTACTTGAGACTCTTATACAAGACCTGCCTATTTCCCCTTGTTGTATAGCCCTCATTTGTTCACAGGCATTCATGGTTACTCCATCTTTCTCAATATTTGTAGAGTTATTGTAGCTGTTCAGCTAAATCTAAATATCTTGAATATCTTCAAAAACCTGGTTCCTTTAGGCTTGAAATACCATAAAGCAATCTAACATATAATTTTAAAATCCTGTCATTTCACCATTCATTTTGAACTTTTGATAGGAAGAATTGATTTATAGTTAGCCTGGGAAATGGAACCATGACAACTTACGTTTCAGCATTTTCACAGCTACTTTCATCACCGGTTGAGAGCGACTCAATCCATATGCAGTCCCTTCAACTACTTTTCCAAATGCACCTGAACCAAGGATCCGACCTGAACACAAGGGAGAGCATTATTTATTTCAAAAAGTAACGACAATTCAGCTCCTTTCCTGTCTCCATGCCTCTACAAGTTGATCCTTGTGTGGAAAGGACACATTCCCTTTGCCAGACCACTGGTATTATTGCTGTTTTTAAGCACAAAAAAGAGATATGAAATGCTGTCATTAAGTACAATTCTTAAAAAGATGCAAAATTCAAGAGCACACCTGCACCTGAAAGCTCAGCTCATTCAAATTCATCCCTTCCTGTGCTCTGCCATCTTCACTTTATCCTCTCACATCATGGATTGTTCTAGGCTTAAGCTGAACTCCTTGCCTCAGTCAGCACCTGATTAAAATACAGGCATGTTCCTGACTTAAAAATCTGAATTGGGTCCCTCAGCTGTAGTTTTGGTCTACTATATAAAGCTGGATACATCCAGCAGTAAAATGGACTAAAGCACATCAAGAGCACATTCAGAAGTAGACAGACAGCACCATTTCAGATCTGCAACAAGCTGAAATACATATTGATCACATATGAGGGGAAACTTCTCTGAAGTGTACAAGTGTGTTTCATCTGCTGGAATAAACTGTATTGCAAATTTCCAAGTGCTGTAATGAAACAGCTAATGTTTATAGACCCTTTACTCTTCCCACAAATCAATTTAGACAAAAATTTGGGATTAATATATCCTGTCTCCTAATATGGATACAGGCTCCAGAAGAATTTTGTACAGATTGAGTGAGATTTTAGAGAAACATGAACTGCACAAACATACTCCAAAATACTGTATTTCCTAGCTTCTGCATTGAAAACCAAGTTCATCAAGGGAACACTTAATGAACAAACCTGTATGTTATGTCCAGATGCCAGAATATAATCACATGCCTGACAAGCTGTCACTTTGATTTTAGGTTACTTTTTAACTTCGAGAAAGAATAAATAGTGGATTTTACTGCGGAGATACACAGCATTTTGTCTTTGACGTTGGTTTACAGTTTGAACTTGTCACCTCTTACACTTCTGAAGGTGTTATCTGGCATGCAATGCCATATGTTTCTGTTATCCTCTAGTCTACTGCCCTCACTTTTATTGTACATATGCTTTTGAAAGAAAATTTCCAGCTAAATATCTACATCATTAACAAGCACAAGAAATGGTTAAAGAATGCTTAGCTCAGTTAACACTGGTGAACCTCTCCAAGATTATGACAGCATAGTTTGTCATGCCCACAGAAGCTATGTGATTTCTTTTCAAGATTCCCGTGCTCCAAAGGTTATCCTTCCCAATCAGGATGTGAGAAAGCTTCACACTAAATTTCAGACTAATTCAAACAACCTGAGTTTGAAATTTGGCCCCTGAAACTTTTCAGACTGAAGGTCTGGGAGCCATATGGCAGGATGCAGCCCTTCAGAATGTGATGGCATTTGCTGATGCTCCTTGATCTTCTTGTCTTCACAAGCCAATTCCTCCCCAAAACCATATTGTCAGCTGAGCACAAGACACACATCTCCCTCTCCATCACCTCTACTGGGCTGGGGTGCATGTGGAGACAGTGAGAGCACTTCCGGAATGGCAGGGAGCCATCACTGCTATTTCCCCTTTTCAACCCTCTCTGCAGATGTAGCCCAAGCCCCCATGTCTTTTGCATTTGAAATTTGGAGCCAGGTGGGAGCTAACTGCCCAAGAGCTGGAAGCATCTGTAATGCCATCACATTCTTGATGAGTGCTTCATTGAAACTCAAAATTGTAGTGCGAGTTTATTTTTCAGTATAAAGGCAGGGCTGTGATCAGCTCGCTGAAGGAACAGTGCTGCTTCACCACCACAGAGGGACCGTGGAGATACAGAGACCCCTCAAGACCCCTCAAACTAGTGGAGGAACAGCAGCTAATTCAGCCTCTGTACCCATCCACAGAGCTTATCTGCTGTGCCTGCCAGAGAGGTGCTGCTTTTCTGCTCAGAGGACAAAAGGGTGAAGTGTGTGAATTAGTTCCAGATGCAACCATCTCAGCTGGATGCTTCTTTTGCTAAAATTGGCCTGTAATAATTAACCCACCCCAAATGAAACCATAAGTCTCTTAGTCTATATTAAAAGCCAAACAAGTGTCAAGCTTTATAATCTACACCCAGCTTCTAGACTCATGAAATTAGGTACCACATCTCTGACTGTTGTGTGACTTGAATCTTAATTTGCCTTTTCCAAATGGGCATGGGTCAGATTCTGTGTCAGACCAGCATTTCATTTTATTAAGGTCACCAGGACAAATAAGCGGCTTGCTGGGAAGAGATGAGAGCAATTCTGCTGTCTCTGTACAGCCACCCTGGTATCCTGAGCAGCAGCACTCAAACCCCATGCCTCAAAAGGTGCTGCTCTCAGCCCTGTCAGCCAGATGGGGAGGTTCAGGTCCTGCTGGGACCTCACTAATTCTCAGCAGAGCCAGCAGAAGGCAGTGGTGCTCAAACAGCTCATGGCATTACTGCGTTGTTCCTTCTGGTACACATCTCCTGGATTTGCACTGGTTCATGAGCCCTTCAAAGAGCACTGCACTACATATACTGGGTCAGTGATTGCAAAGGGAAATTTGCAGTGCAACCCAAATTTGTCAATTGAAGCTCCATCCAGCCAGTGTTCAGAGTTGGTATTTAACACAGCACTGCGCTCCAGGCACTACTGGCTAGAAAAAAACAAACAAATGCCAGCTGGCTTACACAGCTAGGATGGGAAATACTCATCTGGCAGAGCCAAAATGGGTTTGTAACCTGCTTCAGAGGCTCCCTGAACTAAAGGTGTGATTGCTTTGCTGTCATCTCCCACTTAGACAAGAGAAAATCCACACAAACCAGAATTGTCATCCCCAGAAACAAAAGAAGCCCCCCCCTCACCAGCAAGCATTTAATACGGCAGAAGTGCAGGCGGGTGGCTGTGTCAAGTAGAGCAGTTGTGTAATCCAAATTATCAAAAGGATTTGGAGCATTGGGTTTTAAAGTTACTGACTATTCTGAATACACTTGTAAACAAGAAGGCGTTGAAGCAGGCTGGTGGTCATGAGTCAGAGGGAGACAAAGTCACAATGGTGGTCTTTAACAACTCAGATCTGACAAATTCTATTTAGGCATATAATTAAAGTCTGGGTTGTAATAAAATAATTCCATAAAACATTCATCCTCCTCTAGTCTTCAATTAGCAACATGAATTTAATTAAAGGATATTGTTCCTGAACCGGAAATTTTTCTCTTGCTTCTTTCAAGAATTAACTCCTTCTCTGTGATGGTGAAGAACTACACCAGGGGAGTATGTTTCTTGAAATATATCAAATAAAAGACACATTTCATCTTCTTCTCCTGTGTTTTGCAATACAGTTTGGTCCACAGATATCTCCAAGAGAGGGAAGCCTTGTATGTTTAAAGCACTATCTGGATAGAACATTAAAATTTTCTATAGTCATTACATTTTCAATTTATATAAATGAGAGATTGGGCCAGCCTTGAGGAATTAATTACGACTGAGTTCTGTATGAATTCCAATGAGGAATAGAAAAGCAAGAAATCAGAAGGGGGAGGAAGAAGAAAGAAGGACAGTAGCCACAAAAATATGCAGTTACTCAGCACTGATATGTGCATGGCATGGATTAATAATTTAAAAAATATTTTTAATAAAACTACATAACTAGTTGCAGATTTCCTTGGCCTCTGCACATAAGTATATAAATGTCTTGCAGATAAAAAATACTGACATCCGTCTTGTGGATGCCTTAGCAGAAGTGAGGGTTGAAAAGGGCATTTAACATGGACAGAGTCTCCTAAGCCTCATAGGGGTGGACATTGCACACAGGGCATGTGGAGGAGAACTGGAACAGAGGCACAGGAGACAAAAACACAAGGACCTCAGGGCTGATGTCACTGTAGAAGAGATCAGGAAGAAGAACTGATGAGAACAGACACAGCGAGACTCTGGACTTTGTGGCCATAACTTCCAATGCAAATCCTGCAGAGACTTCAGAATGGTCACTGAATGTCTTTCTCCCCAGAGAAGGGTGAGGCTAGTCCCTGACAGAAAACTTACCAAGCACTAACCCATCTCGAGGAAATTCCCATCTGGAGTCGTAAGGCAGTTGCATTGGGTCCACATAAATGTACTCGTGGCCATCAGGGCTGATAGACTCAATGACTCTCCATCTAATCTCATACCTTGGCTTCTGCAGAGCACATTGAATGCAAAACCAAGCATTAGTCTTGGACCTGACTTTAGAGCAGATCAAAACCCAACAAGGCTCAGCACCCAAACTGAAATTCTTTTCTATATACCTGTTTCCATATGATGACCAGGACAATCAGTGAAATTATCACAATCACTAACAGCACTAAGACAGCAGCAGCCACCGTTAGCTCTGATCTCAAGGCTGTGGAATAAAAAGATAAACCATATTTTCCTCATGAGCCATGAGGAGTATCCCACACATAAGACACCCACCTCCCCACACATCCACCTCGCAGTTCCTGTGTCCTGCAGAAGTGGCAAGAGCAGTTCCTGAGGCTGGTGACTATAAAGTCTTTCCAAGCCCAGAGCTGCTCTGCCATCTTGTTTCAAAACCAAATGCAGATTGTCTAGAAGAATGTCCCATAGCCACTAGTAATCACATGGTAAAATGAATTATGGAACCACATAATAAGCAAAAAGCAGATGCACCATAAAGACCTGTAAAATGCCTCATCCTCAGAAATACCAGGGTGGAAAAAAAATCCACTTTAATTTGTTATCTACAACAATTCATATTTTTATCCATTAATGCTAAACTGGAGTGAGTTAGAACAGGGTCAAACTGGCTGTTGTAATTGCATAGAAGGACAAAGCAAACTCACTGGGAGCCACAAGCTTCAGTTCTCGAGTGACGGCACCAAGGTCATTCCTTGCCACACACCGCACAGCCAGGGTTTCCTCCACCTTCTGGAAGGTCACCTGGCTTTCCACCATATTTTTCTCATCCAGGTGGGCTTCCATGTGTATATCAGAGATATTGTTAGTCAAAAGGGTCCATGAGGTGTCATTGCTGCACCTGCAGAGAAGAATAATGGGGGAAATGGGCGTTGGGTGTAGGTATGGATAAATAAGAGTGAACAGAACAAGAATTACCTTTCTCTGCAAATTTCTTCTGACAACAACATATTAAGGACCAGAAGGGTCTTTAGATTGCATCTCTGAAAAACCTACACCTTTCTTCCTTCAAAATAAAAATACTCCCTGAATGGAGGGACAACTACTTCTCAAAATCCTTACTCAAACCTGGACTGTGAAAACCTTGGAGTTGGCTTACTAGACAGAAAGCTTTTATGAGAGAAACCTGAATTGATGCATTGTGCTGTGTCCTAGAGGATGTAAAAAGAAGGGCACTAACAGCCTCTCCTGAAATACAAGCAACATGCCTCTAAAAAGAAACAAGAATTATCTGAAACTTACTGGCTCTTCATGAGGAAAACATTGTACAGTAACTAATTATGTTAAGATAATTGAGGACACAAGTCATATTTCAGGTAAGAAACCACCCATTCCTCTTACTTTTTAATGTCCTTGCAAACCAGCCATTCCACATCTGGAAGTGGTGTCCCCTCTGCCAAGCATCTCACTGTCTGCCCACCTGCAGAGCCATGGTGATCATCCACGAGGGCTGAGATCAGAGCTGGAACTGGGAAGGAATCAGGAGATTGTTAAAATATTTGTCAGTGTCTACAAAAAAAAAAAAAAAAAAAAAAAACAAAAAAAAAAAAAAAAAAAAAAAAAAACCAAAAAAAAAAAAAAACAGCTTCAAATTTCAAAGCAGGGCAAGTGTTGTTTGGCCAACACCTTAGCAAAAGCTACAGACACAAACTCGACCAGGAGATGCTATCTCCTGTAGCACAGACTGGATTCTAGGCTAGAGCAATGAGAAGGAAGTGCTGCAGTTGTGCCACGTCTTCATGTCATGTTAAATGAGCTATCGTCCTACTGTCAGCTGGAATAACTTAGCTGGGTGGATAAAGTTTCTCTTTGGCTCAAGGCCAGTGCAGAAGTGAAAGCCAGGATCAGGCTAGAAAAGCTCCAGAGACTAACACGCACGCACTCCTCCGCTCACCCTGGTTGTGCCTTTCATGTTTCTGTACTCCAGGCAATGCAGCATGTGAGTGGATCAAGTCTTTGCTGTGTGCCATGAGTTCTGCTGGGCAAGGCTTTGGGGCTGCTTACCTTGTATTAGCAATGAGAAGGTGTATCTTTTAATCTCATCTTCATTTTCAGCAACCAAAGTATAGTATCCACTGTCTTCCTCCTTGGCTCGTATCAATTTTAAAATACTCTGAAACCTGCAGAAATGCAAGTTTTTGTTTGTATTTTTAAAGCAGGTATAAAAAAATCATTTTAGTTCAACATGTAATCAACATTTTTAAATGCCATTGAGGAAGAAGCAACAAACTGAGGTATAAAGAGTGAGCAGTGCCCAAGTTTCTGGGGGAGGAACTCAAGTCAGCACAGCAAAGTAAGGGTCAGAAGGTTTTTTACCTCGTTTCCTGGACTCTTCCTGAAGTCGTAACAATCTCTGTAAGATTTTCAATCAGAGTCACATTATCCTTCAACCAGTACATTTTTGGTGCTGGGTAAGCCTGCACATCAACAACAAAGTTTTTGACTTCATGCAGGTTGACAGCTTCCAGAGGGCTAAACTGAGGCTCCAGGTGAACAAAGCCTTTGTCTGTAAATGAAAAAGTCTTGTGTAAACAACACTGTGCAACATTTTTCAAGAATGGTGTTTTCCAATGTGTTCATAATTTTGGACACTAAAATCAGACTGTACCATGAACTGTAATGACTACTTTCTTATTTTCCTTAACCTCCTTGGTTGCATGGCGAGCAGTACATTCATAATCCCCTGTGTCTTTCACCGATGCCTCAGGAATGGTCAAGGTGTAAACCAGCTTCTGCGATGGGACTTTGATATCATCAAGTTTTATCAGACCTTTTTCTTTCTGTAGTTTGGAGAAGGAAAAAAACTTGCTTAAGTAACTGAGCTGAAAGCACATCATTGAGGATCTTTGATACCCCTGAAGTGAGAGCAAACATCTAAATCCTATATGGCAGAAGACTTGTTCATTCAGTTCAGGATGCCCTTTTCAGCCGCAACAGAAAAGCTGTGCCTATAAAAATACACCCTTTTGGGGGCAGGCACAGAGGGTTGAGGTTGAGAGGTCTTATTTTGTTCACAAGAAACAAATACCTCTGAAAATTTGGGTAAGCAACTTGACAGGGAAATTCACTCTTTATGCACTACCATTTCCTCAGATGTAAAAGCCACTTCAGTCCCCTTTGTTCAATGTCCATGAAATAAGTTGAATTTTTATCCCCTTTGCCAGACAAAAAGTAACCAGTTAATAGATACTGTGTTCTGCCTCCTCTCAAAACAAGAATAATTTATTGACAAGGAGAAAACTCCTGAGAGTAACGGGATGGTGAAAATGACAGACCATGTTATCATGAGGGGCTGGAACAAAAATATGCTGGGGCTAGTTTTGAAAGGTAGCATGTAGCAGAGACTATACTGATGAGTAAGATGGAAAACAAAACAAAACTCGCTCAAATAATTTTTCCTCTTGGGCTCTTAACTTACTTAAATAAAAGGGGATATTTGGAGTAACACCTAGGTACACTTCAATTATATCATTCCTTCAGCAATCAGACTTTTTACACGGGGTACTCTGAAATTGCCTGGGACTGGCCCTAGCCAAGTTTGACCGAATAAAAATTTTCACTGCAAAAGGATGTTAAGCCAGTGTTAACAATAAACTAGTGTTACTTAACCAGTAAAAAAAAATCTGAAAAATTTCAGAGTTCTATAAAAGTTTTAGGATTTTCTTACTAGATATTTCTCATTAGTAAATTCAGAGACTGTAAGAATCATATCAGTTTACATCTGCATAATGAAGAACACTTAAGATTATAGACTCGATTCTTCACTGTTTCTTCTTATCCCCAAGAACCAGGATTTAAGAGAGCTGTTTTAGAGATTCAGACCTTCAGCAGCAGAGGTCTATTCAGATGTCCAGCATACCTAGATCTTTCTACTTTCACAACATTTCTTTTTTGCAGCAGCAGCACAAGACCTGAGAGACAGCATTCCTTCCTCAGTCGTACCTCACCTTCTTCCCATGCTTTGCTTAGTTACTAACATCAAATTTACCTTTGGGGAGTGACTTTCTTTTATGGTAACCTAAAATTAAAATAACTTACTTGGTTTTCTCTCCTTAGCTGTCCTCATTCAGATAAGAGAAGAATATTTTACAACCCAACTTACTTGCCTAATAAGTAACTACAAACATTGTGGGGGAAAAAAAAATAAAGAGATATTTACCACTTTGCCAGGATAATTCCACTGCAAATTAACCACCTCATTGTCAAAGACCACACAAGTTACTACAATGGTCTCGCCTGTTTTGTAGACAGTTTTAAGAGCTTCAATTTCAACAGGCAGCTGTGAAGTAGCTAAGAGAAAAGAGAGAGAGATCTCATTTAGTTTTTAAAAGATTACAATTTTCACATGGTCCAATTTCAGACGAAGATTTCCATTTCACTTCCTCTACTGAGGAATCACCTTGAAAATTCATTAAAAGTACTGCTGATCTATACTAATATAAACAATTTGTATTTAAAGCATGAACTGCACAGGCATTGAGTTCAATCCCACAAAGAAATGATCCACAAATAAAATTTCAATTACAGGTTCCTATCTCAAATATCCCTATAAAAAGGCATTGGGTATAAGAGCAATTTCCCATTTTGCTAATCAGTGACTGTCTTTGAGAATTTCTTGATGGCCAGGAAAAATGTTTTCAAAATAATTAAATCATAATTTTTTCAGTCTGCCCAGAATTTGACAGTTCAAAGCCACTGGGAAGCACCAGCCTTTCAATTTGTGTTTCAGCAAAGACGATGAAAATACATAGACTACAAAACATTTTTCTCGCAATAATTTTGGAGAGAATATAAAGTTAGGGACAAGTTATTCTCATCAAAATTATAAGTAAACTTGCAATTAAGTAACTGGCAGTACTGCCAGAGGAGCAAGGAGCTCATCATTGGAGAAATATCTGATACAACCCCATGATGCTGGTGCTCTGACAGTGTGAAGAAAGAACACAATCACTTTTTCTGCTTTTATAAATGAACGGAAATAAATACCTCTTATAATATAGATGAGGAACTCATCAGACTTGAACTCCACGCCTTTAACCATTGTTTTACAAGAGTATGAGCCCGCCGGAAAATTCCCTATGAAGCCTTGTTTGGTGTCATATAAAGCAGATACAGACTTGTCTAAACTGTTAACTAAAGTCACTTGAGCATCTGGGTCACTTGTCCGACAAGGGATGACTGCAGGATCACCTTCTTCTACTAGGATGAACTGGTCTTCTGGTATAGAAGGAACAAAAGGCATGTCTGGGTCTGTAAAAAACAAGAGGTAATCTTACACTGTCTTGTTTGTAGCAAGTCCATATACAAGAATTGCATCTCAATGACCACTTATAGGTCATAAGTGAAACTTGCACAGTTCATTCTCCCAATGTTTCAGATATTGCAGGCAAGGTTTGCTAAGTTCATGTGGTATCTCATTTTAGCTAGTTGATGTGACGTGTAATGAAACATTTCTCCTAAGCACAAAACAGGAAAGGGTTTAGGTTCTTTTGCAATAATTCAGGGTGCAAAATGAAAAAGACTAAAGATCCTCCCCACAAAATGTTAATGTTATTAATCACAACTCACATGATTTTAAGTTACATGTTTTTTCCCCTTTTTTATTAGTAGCTGTCTCCTGACCAATATATAAGCAGGGGGAAAAATAAAAATAAAATTAAAAATCAAAATACTTTCCAAGTAAAAAAAAAAAGTAGACGTCAGTTTCATGTTGTTTATGTTGAACACCACTAAAGCCACATTTCATCAAAAATAGTTCAAGGTACTTATCTTCATGTATTTCTAACATGTCCAACATTACAGTTATGAGACATAGTTAATTATGGTCACTGCATGTGGTTTTCAAAATAAGGTATTCAACTAGGAAAAAAAGCAAACAAGGACCTAGTAGTTTTATTTCTTTTAAAGTCAACAAAATACATGCCAACTTTCCTACCCAGCCAATCCAAAGTCTGAGTTTAAAACATAATTGCATAACATTATGCATAAAAAGCACAGCCTTCAAATCGTCTCCATTTGGCCATTCAGAATAAACAAATAATCCCTGCTAGCCTGAAGCTTCTGTGCAAAGCTTTATAATAAAATTTAATAAATAGCCGTCCAAATCCCTCCAACAATAGAGTTTCTGCTGCACTGGCAGGCTCTTTGTAGCAATATTCCAAACACAGCACTCCATCCCAAAAATGCTGCCAACTCCATGTATTCATTTTCCCACTGTAATTTAAAGCAGAAACAAGATTCACCTAGTTTGGTTTGCTATGTGCTGTTAGTGAAAATAGGATATTGTGTGAAGTCCCAACATAATCCTCCCTGGCTAAAGTGGGTTGCTGCCACCCATTGCCCTCCTAATTCATTGCAGGAAAAACAATTGTAAAGACAAAGTTTATAGTGGAAACAGAGACATTCTCTATAATTTGGAGGAAAGGATATGTTTCTGCATTTATGACATCTTGATGGTTAGCAAGTGGAAAAAATTACAGGGTGTCTCTGCCCTGCAAATCTGGTAGGCTGATGTCTAGAGGCTTTCAAAAACCAAACCAAAAGTCCTCTTGAAGAAATCCTCCATCTCTTGCCTCCACTGGGCGAGTTGCAAGATTGCTTAACATAAACAACATCTTCTGGTAATTTGGTTAGAGCTGCTTGGATATTGAGATATACGTGCCAAAGCTGGCAGCCTCTGCTGAAACATCTTGCTTCAAGAGCAAACACAAACACTTTACATTTATTGTGGCAAATGGAAAGAAAGTCTTGGAAGACTCACTGTCCTTGAATCACACACTGACAACAGCAAAAACTTAACGCCACTGCAAAATAGCCTTAAAAACAAGTCCTGTTATTGCTTCCTGGCTTTTTGCGCTTCCAGAATCTTCCTTGCTGTTGCAGACATCATCTCCTCAGAACATGCTGCAGTTTTTGCGGGATGATTTCCAATCTCTTCTACTCTCTTTTGTTCCCTGTTTCAAAATATTTACTGCAAATCCAGTGGCTTGATCTCTTCTGGCCCTGGAATTGTGACCCTCACCCCCTGAAGCCCAGCCAATGCTGAGGAAACATCCAGACAGGGCTTTACAAAAGCAGTCAGTCGTGGCTCAGCCTTTGGTGCCTATCTCAGCTATGACAATAAAGATTTTCATCCCATAGAGATTGGGGAAAGCCTTTAAGCAGATTTCCAGTCAGAACAAGGGGGTGGGAGGGCAAAGCTGTAAATAGGTACTTCCAAAAAGAAGGGATGCCATTTTTTCTGAGTCCAACAGTTTTCCACCACTAAAGAGAAATGCAACATAGGGCCTGGGAAGGCTGTGTTTGCCTTGAAAATTACAGGGCACTGCACAGTAGCACCATGTGTTTAATCTTGTGTCAGACTGGCCAGCAAGAACACTTCCTTCCCCTCCTGCTGACAGCCCCTCCCTAGACATCTCCATTGCTTTACACTTCCCAGGCTCTGTCCACACATGAGCTTTTTCCAGTTCTCAGTTCAAGCCTAATTCAGGTTAAGAGCAAGATATGGCCTTCCTCATCCGGCAGCAGCTTTAGTATCATACACAGCACTGGTTTGGTCAGTACACATCCCAGAATGTCTCCCCAAGTGCCCCCTGAAAAGACTGGCATTTCTGTTAATCCCCACCTGGGAGCCAGGCAAACCTGAAGGCTGGACATGCTCCCACAGATGAGCTGACCTGGCCACCTGCTCTCCAGCCCCTGGTGGTTAGAAGACCTCACCTCTAAAGTTTTGAGTTCATCACTCTTGAGAACTAAAACTCTTACCAAAATGTGAAAACCAATAGGAAGAAAGGAGAACATATCCATGGATTTACAGGGGCTGGTCTTGATTTACACATGAGGAAATGGCCCTGGGGTTATTTCTCCTCCTCAGATAGTAAATTGCCACCAGCAACCTCTTCTGAACATCCATGGTTCACCTCTCCCACCCAAAGCTCCAGGTACAGCTGTGGCATCCCTCACTTACCAGGCACATAGATGTAGATGTCCTTCCCTTCCACTTCCCCATCCTCCACTTGTGTGTGGTTATAATAGCAAACATACAGGCCTGTATGAGCTGCTGAGGCATTTCCTACTTCGAGAACTGTCACGAAGAGGCCACTGTTGTTTTCTTCGTGTCTAATATCTATCCTGTGGTTTCCCTCTGTCACTGGGTACTGCCAGCTCACTTCGCTGTCTCCAGAGCATTTGAGTGTGAAATTGGAATAGAGCTGTACCACCATTTCATTCCTATTGGGAACAATTGTTGGCAGAGGAAGCTGGCAAAATGTTAGGAATGGTCCTGCAAAAAGACACAAATAAATAGCATGTGAGTACACAAAACAGCCTCAGCACAGGGAGGTGAAAGGAAGCAGAGAGGATCCAGAGCAGCTTCCTTTTCTGACTATTTCAGACCTGCTGATGTCCCAGGAAATTTGCCCTTGTTAAAAGCCAAAGCTTTGCCCGAGGAGTAGCAAATGGCTTTCCTTTGAAATGTTAAGTGTTTGCTTGCTGACTTCTGTTTGTCAAATCAAGAGGTGAAAGACAGACAGAGGTGAAGTTAGAGATAGCTCCCAATCCACATCTCAGCTTTCCAGCCCCAAAGGTGTACACAGCTCTACTGCAGACCAGTGAATTCCACACCCTGGCTGCTGGGTCACAGGCATCTCACACCTTCTTACAGCCATGGTCAGGAAACCAGCAGCCCTGTCAGCCTTCAAGTAAGCTTACAGCTGAAATTTGGAAACCACTTCCCAAGACTAAAACCTGCATTTTACATCTGCCTTCAATTTCTGCAAAGGGCCAGAGCAGGAGCTTGTACATCAGGTCTACCTCTAGCCAAAATGCACAGAAGGCTTGTAGCCAACTAAAACTGCAATTCACTGAACTAGATGTTGTATATGGCACTGGCTTTCAGATACATTCTCCAGTTACAGACTCAGATTTGCAAGTCTAGGTAGTTTGCAGGTGGGCTGGTGCAGGTCCAGCTCTCGGAATGAAAATTAGAGGATGTAAACCCTACAAAATTAGGAACTCACCAAGGAAATATGTTTGTGGTTTCAGACCTGTACAATAAACAAGCACCTAGGCCCACTGAGTGAAATTGTCTCTCTCTGCAATAAACCGGCACCAGGAATCCAGACTGTCTTTGAAATCATTTTCCGCTCCTGCCCAGAGTTACCTCGGTCTACAGGCCCTTTCTATATTTGGCACCCTGTGGCACAGCCTGCCCTGCCCTCCCATCACCATTATTCAGCAGATGTTGGGAGGCTGGGCCGGCAGCCCCGGTGAGTGCAGAGCGGCGTGGGAGGATGAGGAGCCCACACAGGCAGCCTGGCCAGCACTGCTCTGCCCTGGCACAGCTGGAGGTGGGCACATCTCTTTCCCTGCACGCTCAGACAAGATGGCTGGGAGCTTACAGCAGCACAGGAGAGCCAAAGGGGCCAATATGGGCCAGCGAAAGTGCTGCCCTATCAGTAGGGCTTGTCATATCCTACCAGAGGGGAAAAGCACAAAAAACAGGTCTGTGACCAGTTGACAACCATGTGGCGTTTGTTATTGTGGGCAGAATGAAAGCGAGTTTAAATATGGACTTACAAAGAATTAGGGGTGGAGAGGCTTAGAGAACTGAGGAACATTACCTGTGAGAAAACATCCCAGGAGCAGGAACGTCCATGGGGAAGTACCCATAGCTACCAACAACTGAAACAGAAAGGAGAAGGCAAGAGAGAGATTGTTAATTGACTGACAACTGTATAAGACTTAGGAGGACCTCTCTTCTACAGTGCCCAAGTGCAGCTTCCCATCACCCCACATGGTGCCACAAAGAGGAATGGCCCAGGGACCCCTATTCACAGCCACAGCCCAAATGAGACTCATGCCACGAGATGAGTGTGGCCACAGGCAGATGAGACACTGTGACACCTTCTCTCCGCTGGCAATGTAAGGAACTAAGTCCTGATGTTACGAACCAAGTCCTGGTGCATGCCCTTTCCAACAGCCTGCAACCAGCTCTGCTCCCACGGCAGCCTCTGGGACCGAGCCCACAGAAATGCCCCTGCCCAGAGGCAGCACCCTCACAAGAATCAATGAAGATACAACATCTTCACAGAGTTAGTTCTGACCTTTCAGCTGCAAGCAGCTTTTACGGGAGAAAAAGTACATTTAAAGCTACTCTTATTCCAAATAGTACAACCCTGAGTGATATTTTTGTTTTGCCATTGTACATATGTGTATATATAGCTTACAGAATACAATGTAATACAATAGTGCTTATGGCTTATTTAGCAAGAATTCCCTTGATCGAGAGACATGCTATTTAAAACACATGCTGAAATTTTCTAATGAAATAAATCCATGACAGACTGTAGGCCAGCAGTGCCATTCATAGAGCATCTATTCTCCCCAACAGTGCAGAGAGTCATAGATCACATGCAGTTATTTCAGCTTTCAAACATATAATCCTAAAGCATCTGTCTTAGAGAGGCAACAATAGCAATCAGCTTCTATGTAATTTTTGTGCCATGTAATGACATTTCTACATAAAACCCTCAAGCAGCATGCTAGGTAATTTCTAAAGGAGAAGATCCTGCAACCCTTGTTCCCATTGAAACCAACAGATGCTTTGTTGGTGACTTCTAATATCAACAGGATTTGGCCCAAATCCAATCTAGATTAAAAAAACACTGCACAGAAGAGCCCCTAATTTGAAACACTGACCAAGGAGTAAAATAAAGGACGATGTGCCAAGACAGGGACTACTTTTCAAAGGTTCTGGAGAGTTTCTATTCTTTCTCTGGTATTCAGTTCCTGATGCTGAGATATGAAAGCACGTAGGTGCATCTAGTTATTACAACTGTGGCGGTGCCATATGGGAACTAAATGCTTACAGCATGCCAAGAAGTGTTTCTGATCTAGTCCTGCTTTCCTCCTGCTATGGGTGGAGCAGACAGCACCCTTTTGCAGAGCAAAAGAATTTCATATTCTTATATAAAGGGCTCAGAAGCAAGATTAGAAGACTACCTGTCTCAAAAACATATACAAGCACCTTCAGAAATTTAGTTAACAGTGTTCCAGCAGAGACAAGGCATCTTGCCTGATCCTTCAATTAGCAATAATTGCCATGTGTTTATGTATCTGTCTCCCATCGATAACAGACTCTTGGATATCAAATCGTTCCCTCAGTTTCAACCTCTTTACTCTTTTTTATCACATTTTGACACTGCATTTTTTTCTAATAAAGTAACCCTCTGTAACTCTTTAAAGGTTTACCATGGTCTGCTTTACTGATCTGACTCCTAATCTCCCAAGATCCACAAGACAATGTTACGCCACCTCTGCCAAGTTCCCTCCTTTTTCTGACTGAAAATGCAACTCTGTCCCCTTCTCGTGTTGTTTCGCCAAACTATTCCTGTGGTGCAAGTGATGCACCACAGGAGGAGAAAACACAAACCTAGCTCATCTTCAGCTCTGCTGAAGTGGACTTGGGCTATTGCAGAGCTATGTGTGTAAGTGAGGACTGAAGCCCAGTGATGTAAATACAGGTGATAGCATTTCCAAAGTGCTGCTTTGAACTTGCTGTCTTGGTTGGGCTGACACTGAAATCAATGAGTGTCTCAATGTAACATTTCAGTTTAAAAACACAAGGACTTAACTAAATTTGCTTTCTCCATCTGGCTCTTCTTTCACAACCCAGAGCTTTGATCTTTCCTCAATGACCCGTTAATCTCATCAAGATTCAAAGCAACACTTCTTCACTGTGAAAGACGGAATAATGTACTAAGGATTCACCATCACTCGCATTCAAAACCTATTTGAACTGAATTTAGTTACACACGTCTGACTTAAGAATGCTAGTGCCATCACCAGCATATCTGCACACACCCATGCCAGACTCAAGGTTTAACACAGTCACTATTTCACGCTTATGGGCAAGAGAGTTTACTCATTTCCACAACACCAAGCAGGCACACCTATCCTGTTTTTCTTTATTTACAATAACATACACCTTTGTATGCACCTTTTTAGCTCCTTTACCCTCCTTATGGCAGACCAGTTGTCTTTATCCCCAGCTACCCAAATCCCAGCCCTGGACAAATACATCAGGTTCAGTTCCTAACACTGGTCTATCAATCCATAATTTGGTGTAGCCTTGCAGAAGCCGGTAGATTTATGCAAGCTGAAAGCCAGTATTAACATGACACATACAATGTGAGTTTGAGCAAACCTTAATTTCTTGCATACTTAGGACATTGCTAGCTAAAATAGAAACATGGGTGTGTATAGTAAAAGCTAGGTAATGCCCTAGGAGATTTCCCAAACTCTTTGCAGGGGTTTGCCCTGGTTTGGATAGTCATTGAATTTAAATAGTTTTTGAAAGGTTCTGACTGAAATCCTAGTATCTTTCTTGTGCACTTTAGTGGTTAAAAAAAGAAAAATCAGAAAACTAATTCTGAAGAACTGTTATCATTCAGGAGTCAACTTTTCAAACACTAGCTGCCAAGCACTGGCTTCCTACAGAGAAAGGTTTCATTGACTATGCCACAAAAGACAAGGTAAAATCAATGTTCAGAAAAATCAATGGAAATACACGTTTAGAAAATTATGATATTTCTAGGTGAGTGCTCTAAGTGACCTAAAAAGAAAGAGCCCAGGGAGGCCGAGAAGAGCCAAGGGTATATGTTGTTTTCATACCGCTGTGAATCAACCAAAAACTTCTTTCAAGACAGAAAACCAGCCCATCTCCCGAACACGGGAGACTGCTGGGCTGATTTCCTGCCAGCCACTGCAGCTCGTCCTGGCGGCCACAGGATGGCAATGTTGATCCACATTAGCGAGCCACAGTTCTTGTCCTGCGAAAGGCAGCGCTGGTCTCCAGCACAGCCGCCTAAACTGAGTCTCCCGGATTAATTTAGAATTCACAATTCCTACATTTTTAATTTCATGTGATTAAAACGAAACAAAACAAAGCAAAAAAATAAACAAAAAAAAAAACAAAGCCAACCAAAAGCCCCAGAAAAACTCAAACAAACAAATAAAAAGCAGCCAAAAAAAAAAAAAAAAAAAAAAAAAA